TTTACTACAGCATCAGACACTCACACACACACACACACACACATACACACACACACGCACGCACACACACACACACACACACACACATACGCACACACACACACACACACACACGCACGCACACGCACACACACACACACACACACGCACGCACACACGCACGCACGCACACACACACACACACACACACGCACATACACACACACGCACACACACGCACGCACACGCACACACACGCACGCACACACGCACACACACACACACACACGCACGCACACACACACACACACACACACACACACGCACACACACACGCACGCACACGTACACACACACACACACACACGCACGCACACGCACACACGCACACACATACACACACACATACACACACACACATACACACACATACACACACACACACACACCCCCCCCACACACACACATACACACACAGACACACACACACACACACACACACACACACACACACAGACACACACACACACACACACACACACACACACACACACACACACACACACACACCACACACACACACACACACACACACACACACACACACACACACACACACACACTCAGCTCTCTGCAGCATCTCTTCTCCAGATCGCAGTGTGAAATCAGACTTAAACCGATGCTCCCATTCAAACCACACCTGGTCAAGTTTGAAAACATGACCAGGGGATTTTAATTACACACAATTAGAGGTGGCGACCAAGCGGAGAGCTGGATGCTCCCCCCGACTGAAGAAAAAGGATGCTCTAATTAGGCCGGAGGCTACTTTTATTCATGTGACCTTCTGAGACCCCACGCAAGCTGTTTAACGTCACCGCTCTGACAATTAAAACAGGAATTCATTTGAATGAGCTGTGCATGTTGACATAAACAGACACCATTACATTCTCTGTGCTGGGATCAGTCATCTCTGAGGCCTGAATGAACTGTGAGCGGCAAACAGCAACAGGTGACAGCCGAGCAGAATGTTCCTTTACACCCCAGCACAGGCCTTTATAGAAAGATATTAGCCAATAAATCTCTTTAATAAAATTGAGAATTTTCCTGTTACATAATCCTTCACACCTTTATAATATTTTGGCATTTATTTGTCAGAATCAGAACCAGAATCGGTTTTATTACCAAGTAGGTGTACACATACGAAGAATTTGCTTTGGTATAAATGTTACAAAGACACAGAAAGAAGAAATACGTTTTGTTTTTCAAGAAAGATGCGGAAGACAGTACTATTATAAAAGCTATTTAAAAAAACATTTAGAAAATGTAATTCAAAGTTTACACAAAATATTAAAATGTAAGAAACTGGGGACAATAAAATAAAATATATATAAAAATACTATATTCAACGTGGAGAGCTGTGCAGATTTAAAGAGAAAGTGTGGAGCAGAAATGTGCAATATACAGTATTTAAAACCACCAAACTTCCGCTCAGATTTTGGGCAAAACGTCCCTTCTCTGTTCAACCTTCTTCAGAACACAAACTACCAGTGTGTTATTTGTTCTTTATTTTGCCTGGGGACCCATCGAAGCCCCAGTGAAGACCTCCAGAACCCCTCAAAGACTCCTCTTGGACCTCCACAATGGGCACCAGCACTTTAATAAAAGGACATTCACAGTTTTTATCCTGTGACAAATAAGCTATCAACACTTTTCATACAGCCCAATTTCATATGCCATTTGTGTCACTTAGACCAAGCTGGCCATCACACAGGAATCATTTTCTTGGCAGCTGCTGCAGTATTTTTTAAAAGCCTGTAGGCACCCTGCTGCTGCAGCCGACCATCCTCGGGAGGAAAATAACAAGCAAAGAATGGAATGATGGGCCTATTATAGCCTCAGATGTGAGGGGAGAGTGTCAGGAGGAGGCTGCGGCTGCCCTTCATTGGCTGAAGCTGCACCTTTTCAGGATTTAGCGTAAATATGTGTCCCTTTTTGCCAGCCGTGAAAAGGTTTTAACTTTTTATTTGTTGCTTGAGGCTTCGGCTGCAGGCCTGCCGGCCCCACACTGGTGAGGCCTGTAAAACCTAGGATTCATGGGAACATAGTTATCATGCTGTTTTCAGTGTGAAAACATCTTTCTGAGTTTCTGAAGAAATGAACTTGCTCTGGATTTAGCCAACAGACAGATTTCCCAGATAACAAAGGGACATTTTTTATCCTCTGCATCCAGGCGGCTAACTGAGAGTGACCCGGCCTCAGCAGTGATGGTAATGTGGATGGAAACACAAGATTATATGAAAAAGATGAGTTTAGCAAATGATGTTAGAATGCATGTACCTAAGTAAAAAAAACAAAAAACTTGCTGTCATTATATCATTAATATCATTAACTTTTTTGTATTTTTAGATTGTTCCATGTATCTAAATGGAAATACAATTACATTGAATATAATAATAACAACATATTAACAATTTGCAATGGACTTTTGAGAGGCAGAAGTGTTTATCTGAAATCTATATTTTTGCATTTCAATTTTCTGACTTGCATAAGTTATTTTGTGCATATCCTCAAGTGTGCTGCTGTGGACTATCTGTCCGCAGAAATGTGTGATGATGTTTACATTCGTTTATTCCCAGGTTTTACATTTTTGGAGGGAAGTGGCCTCGGAGAGTGTTTCCCGCTGAGGAGGGCAGCTGTAGAGGAGCAGTGATAAAGTGAGGTGACTTCAGACAGGCAGGATCTCTCTCTCTCTCTGTAATGCTGCATCATATACAGTATGGTGGAGGGACCATGTTGCACCGCGGCGATGCGCTGGACCTGAGCCGCGTGCTGCTAGTGATCCATGAAGGAGCAATAAGACTGTTTGACTCTACAGAACATATACAATGTACTGTTTTAGGGGTGCCGTGATATATGCGCACTTAACATTTATTTGCCTATCTTTATTTTCGATTTTCAATTCGATTTCGAATCTGAATGAGATCCGCAAAATAACGGAATATATATTTGTGTGACATTTGTGAAGAATAACAATAATTAGAATACAAATAAATAAACAGGCTAATAATAATGGACCCACAAAGGTACATGCGCCATATAGGCCTATGTCAGAAATGCTCTTACAATGTAGTTTATGACAAATATATAGGCAACACATAATTTCAACACTGTATAGGCTATTTATTTTTAGAATAAAGAAATAAAGAAGAAATGTGGAGGTTAAGATTTTGAAGTGAAACACGGACACCTAGCGTGTTGTTACACTGTGAGAGCGAGCAGGAGAGACACACACACACACGCACGCACACACACACACACACACACACACACACACACACACACACACACACACACACACACACACACACACACACACACACACACACACACACACACACACACACACACACACACACACACACTGTATCCAGCAGCCCTTGACTATGATCCTGCCTTATTTATGGGGAAGAGATCCACTGCTCTGCGGCCAGGGTGCACAACAATTGCTATTAAATTCAGTTTAAAAACATACTGAGTTTTTCAGGAAACAAAAAAAATTAACTAATTATTAAATAAAAAAATATATTTTAATATATTTATTTTTGACAGAAACATTAAAGGACCGGCGTTTGATCCACTCCCTCATTCATGCTGTTTGTGACTTAAATCAATGTATGTGAGAGAAATGTCTAATAGGCTATCTCTCCAAAAGGATTTTAAAGTCAAGAGTTAATTGTGTGTGTGTGTGTGCGTGTGTGCGTGTGCGTGTGCGTGTGCGTGTGTGTGTGCGTGTGTGTGTGTTTGTGTGTCTGTGTGTGCCATCGGCCATCCCTGAATTATGATTTTCTTTGGACTGAAAAGCTTCTGTTGAGCAAGCGTTCATATTATTATTGGCAATATTTTGAATATTTCGAAATAAATATATTATATATATATTATATGACTATTTCTTGTATGAAAAGGGAAGAAAAAGGGAAGATTTTTTAACATTATCTTTTTTTCTTTTTCTTTCCTCCGAGGTGTGGTACACTTAACCAGAGACTTTTTCATGGTGAATATAATAGTGTCACTGAATGCACCATCACAGGACAGGGAGATGTTGAAAAGTTGTTCAATCAAAGGAGCCCCATGCTATTTAGTGTCAGGAACAATGTACAGAAGGAGTAGTCCTTCAAGCAAATAACCAAGCAGATCATTGAGCAATAATTAATACAATATAAATAAGATGTGCTTTATCCAAAAAGGCTGTTTCCCGTTGTAGAGGAACCCTTCATCATTTGGACAGCGACTGGTGAATATAACACCGGCCTGCTGTCAGCCTGATAATGCTCCAAAACCGTTACCTCAATTCAATTCAACATTTTAGTCTAACGTATCACTTATTAGCTGAATTAATATGTGACAGTATTGACATATATTAAACACACAACAAGGACAAATCCGGCCTGTACCAATCCTCTAAAAATGAAGTAGCCTAAGTCAGGAACCAAACCCATCCACTCACTCTATGGTATTTGTATTTTAATAAAAGTAGTTAATACGAGGCAGACGTTTGAAAGAATATACATCGATCTTACAAATATCTCTGCATATTTTTTACATTTAAGAACTATACACTTTGAAGAACATGTTTTTCCAAGTAGGCTAACTCAAACGCACGTTTTTGTTTCACTGTTTGGTTTATGTTTCAATAGAATATGTGTGTTTCTTCTTATATCTTTATTTTAAACTGGGCCTACTTTTTGTATGTGTTTTCCCTTATAGGCAGCAACATGTTTCTATCACTACACCAACCAACTACTGTTGATAAGATGCATCTACCAATTAAAGCCTAATCCTATAACTACATTTTACTTTGAAAAGCATTACAAAGCAGAGGGTTACATTCATAACATGGCAGCGAACTTACCCGTCATGGTTAATAGATACATGAAATGAATAGAGGTATTTTTCATTTTAGATATTCAGTTTTTATTAGATGGCAAATACACAGGCATCAACGATCACTCTGCTTTCCTGGGCTCCTGCTGTCACTTGAATGGGTTGTTTCCATGGAAACGCACAACATACTGAGTGCGTGCAAAGTGACGACACCTTGACATGGCTAACAGGCTCTCTGAGGAGGAGCAGGACCTGCACCACATGAAGAGTGCAGCGGCAGAGTTCTACCGGCTCAACAGAGTCCCCCAGGAGCTAGAGAGGGCCCTGAACCAGCTCTTCATCCACAGGCCCGAAGACATTCACGGTTACCTGGTAGGCTATATCCCCGCTGAAACAGGAAGCACCACCCGAACAGCTCAACTGATGCTAATGCTAACGTTAGCTACATTCACACACAGCAACAGCCGCTTTCCTCATTTAGCTGCTACTTTGCTAACTGCTCAGACTCATGGATGTAGACTAGGTTACTCGGGGCCGCCCCTCTCGCAGAACACGTGCAGTGCGTAGGGCCTCGTATTGCTGGGGTCTTTATCTTATGCGCAAATGCGGTGCAATTATTTGCGCCAGTCCACTCCCTCCCGGGGGTTAGGAGTTTTGTGTACGGACTCCCGGGCCCTTTCTCATTTCACTAATTCCCCTCCTCGACTCCCCTCCTCGACTCCTATCCTCATGTCTTAGTCCCGCCCACAGGAGATGCGAGCGGAGGAGTCGAGGAGGGGAACCGAGGAGAGAGGAGGGGAAGCAGCAGGCGGTTAGAGAAATGAGAACTCCTCTCCTCTGAGCGGTCATTTTAAAGAGATGTCCATTAATGATGACAGGAGGCACAGCAGCCCTCTGTCCGATGGACAGAAATGTGTTCATGATGACTTATATATTTACTTTTAATTCATTCACAGTGCGGTATAATGAGACAATAACAGGCTACAGATGCGGACACATACACACACGTATATTATATTTATATTTCAGTGTTTCCCCTAGGATGGAGTCATAGCAGCGGTGCTAAGGCACGCGGGGCTAGCAAAATGTGAGCGCGGAGCGCGTGGAATTTTTTTCTGTGTGTGCGTGCGAAGTGCACCCCGCCAATATGTTTCTATAGCCGCGTTCACACCAAGTACTTTGCCGTATTTAGTGCCGGCACTCAGAGCCCCGGCACTTATGACCCCAGGGCATTTAGTACAGATCGCGTTCACACCGGAGTACTTTTCCCTGAGGGAAGATTACGCAAATGAGCCGCTGACGTCACTTCGTCTTCTTCTGCTTTGGGTTTACTGGCAGGCAGCAAACAACTTCACGGCGTATACTGCCACCCGGAGTCCCCGGCCGGAAGTCCCCGGAGTTGAGGACTGGCTTCAGTAGAAGCTGCTGGGACTCCCAGCAGCTTCTACTGAAGCCTTCCGAGTAAATCGCCAGAACGCCGACACCTCCTCATCTCCACCGCTCCCATGTTTTGTTTTGTGTTGCCATAAGTTAGTCTCTGCGTTTGTGCGCTGGGTGAATGCTAATGCTAATAATGCTAATGCGAGGATAATAAAATGGCGGCTCTACAAAACATTTCAGAGTTGTACGAGGCGTGGTTTGTAATTCGCCCAGCCAATCAGAACTGGGCCACTTTTTTCCCCCAGGAAAGTACGATCTCTCAGCAGGCACTAAAAATGGGGGTAAAAGTTCCCGAGATTAAGTGCTCTTTTTGGTGTGAACGCGACATAAGGGGTACTAACGGAACTAAACGCGAAAAGTACGGTGAAAAGTACTTGAGATGTCCCGATCCGATCACGTGATCGGGGATCGGAGCCGATCACGTGATTTCAAAAGATCGGAATCGGGAGAAAAAAATCGGGGATCGGGAATTTTTTTTTTTATTTTATTATTTTTTATAAAATATTTTTATTATTTTATTTAATGTTACAAAACAAAAATGACCATGTTCACGTCTTAAAGTCATCCTGAGGCCTTAGTTTTGGTTTAAAATTACACAACATCATGTATGTGTTGCTTCTTTTGGGCTTGTTTTCATAGACCTGGTTGCTTATTTCTCTCAAATCTGGCAACAGAGTGGGCAGGGCGCAGTGTCTAATAGTAGCAGTAAGCTAACAAGAGGCTACGTTCAGCTGGTGACTCGGGAGTCGGGACAGAGAAAATGTCAGGAGTTTGGAAGTATTATAAAATTGAAAGCGAAGGCAGTGTAACAGCCAGATGCAATGTTTGCAAGGCGGAGGTTCCGCGTGGTGGAAAGAACAGAGCTACGTTCAACACGACCAATCTAATACAAACACCAACAACAACACGACGAGTACACAGCGGCCACTCAGGTAACGGCACTGAAACAACCGAAACTTTCAGAGACTTTTAAAAGGAAAGAGAAACTGCCCCAGAACAGTGAAAAGGCCAAAAAAATAACAGCCAAGATAGCTGAATTCATCGCGTTGGATGACCAGCCGTTATATGACCAGCCGTTATATGTTACCTTTTTTTTCTCTTAATGCATTGCATAAAGATCGGATCGGGAAAAATCGGTATCGGCAGATTTTCAAAATCAAATGATCGGAATCGGATCGGGAGCAAAAAAAGGTGATCGGGACATCCCTAAAAAGTACTCCGGTGTGAACGCGGCTTATGTGTCTGCCAGCACAAGAAAGGCTCTTGAGGCTCTACACGTGTGTTTAGCTAAATCACCTTCATTGAACATAGAGTAACACAAATACTACACATCCACATAACAAACAATCAAAAATAAAATGTATGCAATTTAATTATTTTAACCTGCTTTATTTGGGGGTGGACCTAACATCCTCTAGGGGGGTCCGGGGGCATGCTCCCCCTGGAAGATTATTATTTTTTAATATTGAAGTTAAAAGCATCAATCTGGTGCACTTTGAGAGCAAAATTAAGAGATCTATGGATACATCTCTCAACACGATATGAAACTGAACTGTAAGCAGATTTTCTTTTTCTTTATGGATATTTTACAAATTACTCCCCTTTTAAACTGTATTCTTGTTTATTAATAACAACTTTTTTGTACTGTCCTATAGTATTTTATACCTGTTTTTCATCTATTGTCTTATTTTTTTATAACTATAATGATTATATAAAGGTGTGCCTTTACCTCACTGAGCTGAGGTTATCAGAGTCTTTCAGGGGCCTCATTTATAACGCCTTGCGTAGGATTCACGTGGGAAGGTTGCTTACGTAGTACAAAGCAAAAAAATAGGTACAGAAATGTTCCGACATTTTCCGATTCACAAAACATTACGTACCGGCGAGGGAAGTGTGTACGGCACTTCCTACACCTGTTTCCCTTTATAAATCACAATCGACTCGAAATGCGGCGCAGCTTTTGCAGGCTTCACGTAACGCCCATATTTGCCTATAAATAGTCAAAGAAACACCCATTCATTCATTCATTTTGACTGACTGCATGAAGAAGATCGCAGGAAATGACGACAACAGCTAAAAAAGACATCTCACACCGTGTCAGATTTGGGTTATTTTGGGGAGGTGGAGATAAATCATATTGTTTGGTGGATGCAGTTTGAACCAGAGTAGCAGCATGGAGGTCGGATCGTCACCAAAATAAATAAATAAGTGGTCCGAAAAAGGTTAATGACAAAAAAAATACACATAACCTTCCTCAGGCAGTGTGTTTGTACCGGGGACAGGAGACACCCCCTTGATGAGAAACTCTAAGAAATGATCGGGGAATCCCTCCGGAGTGGAGTCATGACGACTGGATCTGAATTATTTTGTTGTATTTGGTGGTTTGTGTTCCAGCTGTCGATCAGCAACTATATATCCATAATCCACCAGTTAAAGGAAATACAATGTGTTGTGTTATATTAGCTGTACAATTTACCACATATGGTGTTCTTAGTTTCCATACCTCCTGTGTTTTACGAGCGACTTATCAAGTCTTGGCAAACGGCATAAAACACGATTAAACATGATAGTATATAAAACCATGCTCGTATCTACAACCTATAGAAAAGCAAAACGGCATCAGTTTAGACGTTATTCTGTCCTCCTGCTTACCGCATCATTTATGAGAAAACATTTCATAACATTAACACAACATATTCGAGGTGGTTTTAAATAACATATCCGTATTTATTTATTTCTCCAAGTTATGTTTTTGTGTGCACTGAGGAGTCTCAAACAGGCGTTTTGTTTAATCATTTTAAGATTGGCTTTAATCAATGTTTGAAAATGAATTCTTCATATTTGATAAATGAGAGGTAACATTTTATTTATGGTATTATTTCCACATATTTCTCTCCATTCTTCCTTCTGCCAACGATGTCGCAGTTTCTTGTCTCTCCCGTTGTTATGCTTAGTGCGTACGCATGGGTTAGAGTTTGCGTGGAGGACAGCACATTTTCCCGTCAAGTTAGTATTTTATAAATCGCAAACATTGCGTAGAAACTGGCGTACGCCATTTTTTGAGCGTATATCCCTTTATAAATGAGGCCCCTGGAGAGAGCTCTCTAAAGCTCTCCCCCCCCCCCCCCCCCCGCGGCCGCGGCCGCTTACACAGTATATTCCAATGTTAATAAAAGCCAGTGGCGTTTTTATATGTACAAAAGTGGTGGGGCACAAAAAACTTAGATGTCTATATATAAGCTTCTGCAGTGACGTGCAGTGAGGTTCATGGCTGGTGAGGCACTGGCACTGACTCTTCAGGTTTACAAATATTATATTTTGACCTAAACCAAAATATAATATTATTTTCAAAAGCTTTTTTTGTCTGATGCTTCGATTAATTTTAAACAGACAGTTCAACAAAAGGATACCCAAAAAATGTAATTTTATCATTTAAATATTGAATTGTTCTCTCTTAGTAAGATCCCATTTTCAAAAAATTGCGGTCTTACCTTGACTTGAAGATGAAGTCCATTTGCCTATCCTTCTGGACAAAAAATTCTATAACTTTTTTGTAAAAGTCCTCCTTATCTTCTCGTAGTTTCAAAAGTCTATCATAAATCTAATCGATAGATTTATGATTCGAAAATTATAAAAGTAGGGTAGACATGTGGATGTTATCCGGCTGAACAAAACGTGCATTTATCTAACAGGTACGTTTCCCACAGATCTTATTTCGAGCTATTTTCTAAAATCCTATGGAGAAACCTCATTGCTTTTTTGCAGCTTACTTCCTGGTTTTAGGACGCGTCACTGCACCTCTCTCGTCTCCTCTTCAAGCACCACACTTTTCGCGGCACACGTACTTACAGCCAATCAGCTCTGAATGATGTGAGATGACGTATGGTGGGGATGGCAGCTCTGTGCCCCTATGGTCTTTTTTTTTTTGCCAC